GGCAACACAGTGAGACTCTGTCTCAAAAAAAAAAATAAAATAAAATTCACCATGGAGAAAGAAATAGATGGAAAATTGGTGGGAAGTTAAGCTATATGGAGGATAGCATGGTAAGGGATAATACATATTTAATTGAAATTAATAGAGAAGTGGTGAGAAAGAAAATAGAGCATAGGCATTATTTGAAGAGATAATGCTACTAATTTTTTTTTTTTTTTGAGACAGAGTCTTGCTCTGTTGCCCAGGGTAGAGTGCCGTGGCATCAGCCTAGCTCAAAGCAACCTCAAACTCCTGGGCTCAAATGATCCTTGCTTTAGCCTCCTGAGTAGCTGGGACTATAGGCATATATCACCATGCGTGGCTAATTTTTTCTATTTTTAGTTGCCCAGCTAATTTCTTTCTATTTTTTTAGTAGAGACAGGGTCTTGCTCTTGCTGAGGCTGGTCTCGAACTCCTGACCTCAAGTGATACTCCTGCCTGAGCCTCCCAGGGTGCTGGGATTACAGGTCTGAGCCACCACGCTCAGCCTCTACTAATTTTCTTGAACCTAATAGAAGGCACTAATCCATAGATTGAAGAATTCCACCAAGAATGGAAAAACAAGCACCACATATACTCACTCATCAAATTGGTATTAACTGATCAACACTTAAGTGCACATATAGTAATAACATTCATCAGGTGTTGGGCAGATGGGAGCGGGGAGGAGGGGATGGGTATACACACACGTAATGGGTGCAGTGCGTACCGTCTTGGGGATGGACATGCTTAAAGCTTAAAGCTCTGACTCGGGTTGGTCAAGGGGAATGTACATAACCTAAACATTTGTACCCCCGTAATATGCTGAAATAAAAAAAAAATTAAAAAACAAAGAATCCCAGCGAATCCAAAGTAGAATAAATAAAAAGAAACCCATACATAGACACGTCACAGTGAAACTGCAAAATAAAACAAAACAAAACACAAAAAAGAGAATAGTGGGGTATTAGTATCTTTCTGTGAAGAATATTACTAGAGGAGAAGGTTATAAATGTTTGTTTTGTATACCCGTGGATATTGAGTTGTGGGCTCACATCAGCTTTAGAATAATTTTATAACCTATTTGTAAAAAGCAATTTTTTTTTTTTGAGACAGAGTCTCACTCTTTTGCCCTGGCTAGAATGAGTGCCGTGG